AACTACAAATTAAGAAGCTCAAAAACACCAATCAATGGAGATCTCAGGAAATAGTTTCAAGAAGCCAATTCTTAAGAAGCCAAGTTTAATTCTATCATTGTAAGGAGGATGGAGATAGTACTTTTGAGGTGTTGTAAGGATTTGCAATAAGATAATATACATATGCAAGTTGCTATAAAGTACCGTGCAGATGTCTGTTAAGTCCTTTGTGTACTTTTCCCTTTTATAGTGCATTTCCTAATGTTTCTGTAGCTTGGGAAGTAATAGAATGGGAAATATTTGGAGCTGATCATTTAGCAAAGTGCTCTGGGGTTTATTTTAGCTTCATGTTAAACTATTACTTACGAGCTGTGCTTCTCCATGACTACTATGAGTTTGATTGCACATAAGCAATGTGCAATTCAATGGAATTCAAATTCAATTCAAATAGAAAATTGAGAATCCTAATTTATGGAGTTCCACTCTGAATAAAGTGCATTCACCATTTGTTTGACTGAACTTTTATTATGAATAATGTTAAGAAAACCGGCATATTTCTAATCCATTTCATAATGGATTCTGTTCATTTGTAACATTACTCTTTTATTCATTCATTAAATACCAGCATGCATGTTTATTTACAGTTCTTAATTGCATTGTACGAAACAAGTGGTTAAACATAAACAATTGCTATGAATTTCCACCGAGATGGGGTAAGCCTATCGCTTCTCTAAGCACAAACAAAATCCTGTCATTTCAGAAACCACTTCTTCCTTTCTTTCCAAATTTTATTCATTTTGGAAGCTTACTTTAGAAGTGTATAGTTTTCCCCCCTTTTTATTGCTTTGTTACACAAGTGGAAACCAGAAAGGTTTGCTCATTTACAAGAAGTACACTTGGATTATGATCAGAAAGTTCCTTTGCTCCCTAGTTTACAACACAAGTGGTTGTTTGCAGATCCATATAGCTACCATAGCAATTTCCTGGAGATGACATTGGCCCTTGTGAGGCAACAAGATAGTAGAGCAGTCTGTCTCACCATGCCTCATTAAGAAGAAACCACAAGCAGAATCCTCTTTTAAAAAATGCTCCAGATGATCAGATAAAACTCAGTTAACTTCAAAGTTACATTCCTTTCCTTCCTGTGTTACCACCTCAGAATTCCTGTTCTTCCCTTTGCTGTCTTCGCCTATTTCCATTTACTGTTTATATTTGTCAATGAAGAAATGAGCAGGATTTCCCTCAGTTTCTTCCTGTGCTTCCCTCGACATCTGGCAGATACAACAGGCTGTCTTTCCCCAAAGCTTAGCTCATTGTCTTTGTTATTTACCTGCGTGTATGTCTTGCCCATTGGACGCGGTGGCTCAGTGGCTAAGACGCTGAGCTTGTCGATCAGAAAGGTCAGCAGTTCGGTGGTTCGAATCCCTAGCGCCGCGTAATGGGAGTGCGTGGCACGACATAACCGCGAACGTCAAAAGCGTGCCGACAACACCGCGGGGCTAAAACCCCGATGTCAAAAGCGCCGACAACAGCGCGCTGACAGAAGCGCGATTTAACTTAAGGTAAGGTTTAGGGTTAGGTTTAGGGTTAGGTTTAGGGT